GTAGTTAAATACATTTTTTCATTATACTACTTTGTGTTTTTCTAGGAATTTGACAAGATGAGGCATTGCATACAAGTAGCAACATTTTTTTATTTGGAAGAATTAGAATGATATGAATGCTTAAATTTAATCACTTTGAGGAAGTAAGCTAAATACTTTTTAATCTGTTGCATTTGGTCATAGACTAAAGGTATGCTTTCTCAATCTGGCTCACTGTGGCTAAATGTGTGTGCCAGGAATAGGAAAATTCGAATGTCCTTTTTGCCCTAAGCTCTGTTGGAATTACTTTTGAATATTGTGGTCTTACCTTAGTTTTAACCATCTTTGTTCTGCTAGCTGCTATATTTTTTCTATTCTTTTTACCTCAAAAAAATGTAGATGGATTTGAGATACATCAGTCAAACAATAGGTCATAGGCCAGTTATTTTGGGATTTGAGATTTAATAATGTTCTAATTGGTTAAATTTCTACAAGGAGATTTTAAATACCCATAGTAGTCTTGGATTTATGTACTGAATGTTACTCAGATTTTGGTTTCCTTTTCTTTCAAAGTTTACTTTGTATATTTGCATATTTTGGGAACTTTGCTTAAACATTATGATGCTTTTGAACAAGAGTGCTTTATTAGTGTGCTTTTAATGTATATTGATTTTGCAAAGTGAATTTCTATTTGTATTATGTATTAGTAATCAAATTTTATTATTCCCTTTGGAAACTTAGAATCCTGAAAGCACATTTTAAAACATACAGAATTGAGTTAAGTATAGAATGATTTTTTTTTTGAAGATTTATTTATTTATGCATAAAAGAACTGGGGTACAGGCCAGAGGTGTGGGGAGTGAAAGGATTCGCCAGAGACAGAGTGGGGAGCAGAACAGGCAGATTGACTGAAATACACTGCTGAGGGGAGCAGCAGGCGAGTTAGGAGAGGTCTGCTGTGCCATGTGGGTTGTTCCCTGGCCGGCCAGGGATCAAACTTGTGCTGCAGAGGCTGCGGATAGCTTCACAGGTTGCGTCTTAACCCTTGCGCCACCAGGGACGCTCAGAATGATGTTCTTGAAAGCCTTCGTTGTTCCTTCTTTATATGCTGTTATTCTGGTGTTAGAAAATAGTCCAACATAGATCTGCATAGAGAATAGTGTGAAACAGAAATCTGATTTGAGGAATTGCTTGGGGAGGAGCTTGAGATGTTTTACTATGTGCCCTACAATGTTCATTGATGATGGTCTCAACTTTTAGTTTTCTTTTCATTGATGTGTTAGGATAACTGAAAAACTTATTTTTTTCCCCTTCATTTTGACTTTGGAGAGTGGGTAAGGAAAATGCTCTACTTCAAGTAACTCCAAAATTTTTAGATGTTAGTACCTCTGTTACAAGGAAGGGAGAGGGGTACCTCAGACCCCACAAACCTGCCTGCTCTAAATAGGTTCTGCAGTCTGCTACATCAACACAAAATATATGAGACTTTAATGAAAAGGAAATTTAATACAATTAGTAAACAATACAGGAAAGGCAAAGAATATAGTTTTTAAATCAAGCACCCAAAGTTACCTGTCTCCTCGTGGTTAAAAGTCCACCCAAGCAGGATTGGCCCAGAGCAAGGCCCCAAAGCCTGCCACAAGTCTAAAGCATCCTCCAGTGGAGACCCACAGAAAAGGATCAGAAACAACCAGACAAGTCTGGAGGAAAGGAGCAAAATCAAAATCAAGACAAAAACCGCCATTGTTACCTCCCCACAGGTCTCTCACCCACATCTGTGTCACCCAGTCCACGACCAAAAGGCAAGCGCAATTTCTTCACGTGTCTCTAGGCTCCCTGTGCCTCCTCCAGGTCTCCTTCTGGCTCCCCATCCTGCTTCCTTCCTTCCTCAGTCTCCTCTGAAGCTTCTTCTACTCCCTGCGCAGTTCCACCCTCCTTTTGGGTGGGGCAGGAAACTTGGAACCTCCCCCTTTCAAGGTATATATAGAAATAGAAATAAAGAAGTCATCTACCTAGCCCAAGCTCCTTTTTGTTATGGACTTGAGAACTGAGGCCCAGAGAATTGTACGTGTTCCCTGGCTCGGTGCTTTTCAAACTTCCTGTGTTAGAGGACCAGTTTTTTCTTCCCCAATGCATGACAGGTTAATAATTTTGTAAACTAATAAAAATGAAGTAATAGAAGAAGTAATTTTCAAATGACTTATACAGTTCTAAATCCTTTTAATTTCTGTGTTAATCGCAGTGTAGATAAAATATAAAGAATTCTGGGACTAGAACAGTCATAACACACTTTGTATATTGCTGTCTATGGTCAGGGTTGGTAAACTATGACCCATGGACCAGATCCAGATTACTCCTTGTTCTTTATATGTTCTGCAAGCTAAGAATTGCTTTTACATTTTTAATGATTTTTAAAAATTTACAAGAGTAATATTTTGTGACATGAAAATTACACAAAATTCAGATTTTTAATATCCTTAAATAAATCTTTATTGGAACACAGCCATATTCAATATTATCTGTAGCTGCTTGCCCTCCATAATGGTGAGATTGAGGCAGAGATAAGTAGTTGAGACAGAGACCATATGGTCCATATTGCCTATCTGGTCATTTATAGGATAAATAAAAATCTGAATATCTGAGTCAAGGAGGAAGCAGTTATATCAATAGTTAGTGGTAGAATTGAGAATATAAACAGAATCTGTGTTTTAAAATGTGAGTTAAATATTATCATTAGCTGATACGTATTGCTAGAGTGTGTTATCAGTATTCTTGTATGCTACTTTTTGTTCTCATTTAGTCCAGCAGTGCTCTTTTATAAGTTATGCAAGTTTGGATTCCTTCTGGTCTATAGAAATCTTCCTTTATTACTTTTATAGAGATATACCTTTATTGCTGTTAAATATTTTCTGATGTGAATTTTTCTATTGGCATATGGTTTAAAAAGTTGAGCTTCTTCCCTGTTTTCTGTTAATTTGCATTAGATTGTTCTCTGTGTTCAGGTCAATGAAATAGACAGGTATGAGTCAAAAATGTTTAGAAAACAGGTATTTCTGTAAAAGAACTTACTCCTTTTAAAGTCACTAAAACAAGCAAATTACATCTAAACTAACGGCAAATTTCCATTGCACAATAGCAAAGGTGAAAGTAAAATACTTGCTACAATACAAAAGACTGGGGTTTTAGTTGATTTTCAGAGAACAACAAGGTTGACAGTGTTTTGACTCTACCACTCATTAAGCAACAAAATGAAAACTTACTGACAAGTCCTGTTAAATTACCGTATTATTTCTTGTTTAAATTAGCTTCTGCAGTGCTTGATGTATGAAGTAAAAAAAACTGCTTTACATGGTAGTTTTTATTTCATTTTTCCCTATCCTTTGCTTGTGATTGCTCAGCAACTTAAGATAGCAATAGCTGTCAGCTTTACATTTGATACATCAGTTGGCTTCATGATAAAGACCTTTTACAAGCCAGCTTTTCATGTTGGGATTTCTTCTTGGAATTAAAAAAAAGTGTTGTGAAAGCTTATTCATTATGAGGAATCAGTAACTAGAGCTCAATATTGTGGTGCTCACAGTTCTACTTATTCTTAAGTCAGTTTATAAAATATGAAAAATAATTATGCTCGTTGCTTAAATTCAGGAATAAAGTAATAGAGAATGTTTTGCCAGAATTTCACTCCATCTTCTCAAATCATGGCTAGTTTTTATTATCCCAAGATTTATGCAAGAGATTATGACGCACACTGCTTGAACAGTCTTAATTCTGAATAAGGCTATTCCTTTGCACATTGTAGCACAGTCACTGATTTGATGGTTTCTGCATTAAAGAGGAAGAGCTTCATAAACAGGGCTCACTACTTAGTAATGATAGATGAGGATTGCTTTCCAGATATTCAACAATAATGTGTATGTACTTTATCATGGAACTGTTAATGAATGAAAATTGGGAACTCATCAACAATAGTGGCTCAGGTGATTTTAGACATTATATAACAAGTCTTTAATCACTTATTTCAACTTAATATTCCTGTTTGTTTTAAATTTATGCTAAAGCACACTGGTAAATGTTAACACTTCTTGTTCTCTCCAGAAATATACAAAATCTTAACTATTTGAACTGTTAGTATAACATAATTGAACTGTGCTTATAAAGTTGGACTGATTTTTAACATGTATCTTAGTTTAAACATTGGTGGCTAACATTGCAACACCCTCTCCCCCTACACACACATATCAGATGTAGATAAGAAATGTTTTGCATTGATAAATTATACTAAATTTTTCTTAAATGGTGATTCTCTCTTTTGTGGAGTTCCACATCTAAGAATTCTCTGTAACCACTTTCTACCTAGTATAGCATGTGCAGCATGCATTCCTAGCATATATTATAGTGACTGAGTTTCTGTTTCTAAAAAATTTTGGTGGGAAGAATTATAGAAGTCAGTTTTTTGCAGCTCCACTGCAGGGGACCAGAGTGGCATGCATTGCTATGTGTGTTAAACTTCTTGGAAACAAGCCAGTATGTTATGGTGAGGTTGATATGTAAGCGGTGAGCCACTAAAAGGCATGCACAGTATTACAACTGTTCTTAGGAGAGGAAGCATTAGGAAATTGAGCAATAAAGCAGCAGCAGCAACAAGCAACCACGGTGGTAGTAAAGATAGGGCAGCTCCAGCGTATTTCACAGTGTGAGGCAGTGAGCACACAGCTTTCCATCCTGCTGCCTGAAAGAGGCGAAACAAAACTGTCTATTGCGAGATTTTTCTAGTTTCATGTTTATGATGTTAAGTCATGTGATAATACTGTACCATAAGTTGCCAACTTCACTTTACTCTAGAGAGGATCTTTTGCTGCAGTGCTTTTTTTCCTTTCTTTTTCCTTCTTTTTTTTTCTCTTGAAAGAGAAAAAAAAACTGTGCAATGTATGTTTATGCCTACACCATGCCGAGGCGACATTTACCAGTAAATAATCTTTGTATCCCTGAGGTAAGATACTGTTTCTGCTTTCCCTGCACAGTGCTGCTGCAGCACGGAGCTGATCCAAACATTCGGAACACTGATGGCAAATCAGCCCTGGACCTGGCAGATCCTTCAGCAAAAGCTGTCCTCACAGGTAAGAAAACAGAGAGCCACCGAATTGTGTTATTGATGGAACTACTGGGTTGATTTTATTAAAAAAAAAAAAAATGCACTGAATTTAATTTTTTCTGCTGGTTAAGCTCAACAAATTTATATGCCATCATTGCTACTTTATCATTGATTGATAGATAAACTGCCTCATTAATTGCTATGCTGTTATAAGCAATAAGATTATTGTTCTACTTATAATTTCTGAGAATTCTAGCATTAGATGACAACATACACTGTTCATATTTGAATCATTTTTTAATGAACTAGATCATGATTTTCCTGTGTCTCATCCTCTCAGTTGATTCTTTCAAAGACCTTCACTGTTGAGTAAGCAAGGGCATTTATATTACTTTATAAAAAGTAGTTTTGATTGGAGACAACCTGCTGCCTTATTACTTAGATCAGAGTTTAAAAAATTTGATACTACCTTTCCCTTGCCATCCTGTTTATATTGTTATCATATTTTCTCACTTTTACCATGATAGCTAAGTACGTTGTAACTAAGGCAATGTATTTCCTTTTACTTCAGATAATGAAAAATTTGGCTTCAATATTAGTTTTATTAAGGCATATGTCAAGTACCAGCCTTAAAAGAGGAAATGCTGGATTAGAAAGGACCTCTCATAACAATATAGAAAATAATGCTATAAGTGATAGGATATTGAGCAGCTGTTTTCATTGATCTTCATTCTCAAAATGCTGCATTGGATCTATTTTTGTTTTTCTTCTTACCATCTGAGTTCTGCTGCCTTTGCCTTCTTTTACTTAACTGACCTTTGTGATTTGGAGCCTCTTTGTCACTGCAGTGCGAACAGTATTATTTTAGGTTGTGTGAAAATAAATGACTTTTTAACTTGCTTTTAGATTTGCCCTTGTTTGAAGAAAATAAATCTTTTGTTCACTTTTAAGTTTAGAGGCCATGCTATAATTTTTAACAAAGACTCTGAGCAGAATGGAAACATTTATATACAGAAACCTTTGAAAATATGTGAAATTTTGCTTAATTTCTTTTCGTAAAGACAAATAAGAAATATGATTTTTCTCAATTCATAAAAGATTAAGTGATTCTGTTACTGAATCTGGATAACATACACTGGAGGAATAAGGTCATTTTAAGCCAATGTAGATAAGAAGTTTAAATGTAATTATAACATTTTAAGTAATGAAGTTATATACTCAGACCTGCTTAAGGTCTGCATCCCTACTCTCTCTTAACAAATTCCTGAGCCATCATAGCAGCCTTGCAGTGGTCTCTGATCAAAGGAGAAATGCTGTTCCTAATAACAGAGGTACATTATAGATGCTGGCCAAGACCATCTCTGTGTCCTCCCTGACCTTTCCTTCCCTTCACCCCTCAGTGCCTGCTGTGTTCATTTGTTATTCATTTAATGCAATACTGCTTTTAGAGTTAATTTCACTTTTTTAAAGAAAGAGTTAAGTTATGAACAACAGGAGTGATCTCTCAATTTGAAATGAATTTCAGGAAAGATTATATTGACTGTTGTTAGTTTGGCAAAGAGCTTTGGCATAATTCATGGAGACTCAGAGTCCCGAATGACAGATACCATAGCTATTAAACTTGATTTGAAAAGCATCTAGCACTGTACTTTTGCTTAAATAGGAAGACATTAAATTTTTCTTGGTTATGGTACTGAGTTCATTAATTGTTTCTTTTTGAGAATATGTTCTTTTTTGGAAATGATACATAACTTCAGATATAATTTGAAAGAAAGATGTTCTTGCAGTAGTAGTCATTTTTATGGGAAATATAAGCATATTCATGTTATATAATATAGTGAAATAATCGGTAAAGTATATTCCAAGATGTTTTTCTATGTAGGTTCTCTACCTTCTTCATGAGGGTATTATGGTAGGAGCATTATTTCCTAAGCTAAATTTAAAAATGAAGCATCAATAAGAAGAGAATCTTTTGGATGGACTGCCTTAATTTAGAGCTGTTAGAGATTATTCTAGGCAATATGTCACTTTTTACTTTTATCCTAGGTATAGCTGTGGTACCTCTGTTTACCTTGAGGTTGAAGTTTCTGTTCTTCATTTTTTTCCTCTTTGAAACGTTAGTTACTAAAGAAGACTTTCCAATACTTTGCATGCTTAGTCAAAACTGTATAAAGGCATGTATGTGTATTCCTTAAAGGAAATTAACAGAGTGAAATGTTTTACTTCATAGAATATTTTAAAATATGTAAATGATTAATATTCTCTTCTGCATAAAGAATGCTTGCATTTTTACAAAGCTATGTAAAATGACATATCTTTAGTTTACAAATCAAGGGGCCCAACATATAGCCATTTGCTTTGGAAGTGCACTGAAGTATTTTAGTGCTCTTAGAATTTAAAATTTTTTATTTATTTTGATCTTGTTTTGTAGCTATAAAAGCACATTCATTGTGGAAATTAAAGAAAATAGAAAAAGTATAAAAAAGAAAAAAATCACTTGAAATTCTACCACCGGAAAAGAACATTTTGGTATACTTTACTTACAACTGTTATTTCTAAGCACATACTCTTTTTTCTTTAATCAGAGCAGCCTTATATGTTACATAATGCTTAATAATCTTGCTAAAAATTTAGTCTTAGACTGTCACCAGAAGGCATTAAAATATTCCTTTGCAACATGAATTTATACTATCTCTCTATGAATATATATATATATATTTAGTGAATCCCTTGGTTTTTATCATTTATGTACATTGTTTTTCCACCTTTATTTCTCCTGGTGAATTTAGAGTGATTTTATCAACTCCATTGGAATTTTGCGTCTTTATCCTATTCATTCTTAGCATTCACAGATACGTTATATTTCTCCATTTCTGACTCAAGTCTATGAGGATTTGGAGAATGAATAGCTTCCCTTTTAAAGGACTGTGCTGCATGTGATATTATTTTGATAGAGGCTAACTTAAGTTAAAGGTGGTTGACAAAGATAATGTTCATTGACGAGGGTAAAGGATATAGTAATGTTTGTTAATCATGTAAAGGGGATTCTGTGTGGTATAGTGAGAAGTTCTATCAGGAGAAAAGGTGATAGTAGATTGAGGATGAGAATTTGGAAAAGGAGAGAGAGGACCAAAGGAGTGTTTATCACTGACAGAACCAAGGATAATGGGAATATAAAGTTGGGTGAGTTAGGTGTTCACGAGGGTGCCAACATAACTGGTCCTAGCAGTTTTCCACTAGATTTAAGGGTAGGGAGGAGGGGGGAAGGGCATGTTTTTTACACCAAAGTGTTCAAGAATAAGCTATAACCTGGATTCATTATACTTCTGCAGAAATTCTAATCTGTGATTGATGGGCTGTCTTCCAGTTTTCTGAAAAAGAATCATCTGTGGCTCAGGCTAGAGGCATTGTTGAGGGGTTTGGTGTGTACTTCCTAAGCCTGGCATATTAAATCAACAAAATATATCTGGAATTCTGCTTCTTTTCCTATTCCCTTGCTTTTTTACTGCTGCTTTTCAGAGAAATCCATACCTTCAGCATGATCAGTGAGGACCTTAATTTGAACTTTAAAAATTATTTTTGTCAATTATTAGGTCTAATAATATAGTACCCTCCTAGAAAATAAACCATATAAGGAAATATCTTCCTTTTAAAGAAAAGCTATGTTTATCCACTTAAATTTTATTAGGGGGAAATTATTGTGTGTGTTTATTTGAAGATTTTTTTATTTATGCGTACAAGAACTGGGGTGCAGGCCAGAGGTCCGTGGGGGGAAAGTGAGAGGATTCGCCAGAGAAAGAGTGGAGAGTAGAACAGGCAGATTGAAATACACTGCTGAGGGGAGCAGTGGGCAAGACAGGAAAGGTCCGCTGTGCCATGTGGGTTAGCTCCCTGGCTGGGGATTGCACTCATGCTGCAGATAGCTTGAGAGCACTGAGACTTTAACCCCTGTGCCACCAGGGAGGCCCAGGAGAAAATTATTGTTAAGATGAATTCCTGATTTTAAAAAAGCTCCTTTTAGTATAAGAGCAAGAAAATAAAAACCTGCATTGTTGAAATAAAAGTGTGAATACTCATTTTATTTTTTTAATTATTTTATTTATTTTTTTATTTTTTATAAGATTTATTTATTTATACAAGCACTGGGTACAATCAGAAGCGCGGGAGGGTGAGAGAATTCATCAGAGCCAGAGTCAGGAGCAGAACAGGCAGAAGCACTGAAGTACACTGCTGAGGAGAGCAGCAGGTGCGGCAGGAGAGGTCTGCATGCCATGTGGGACCCTTCTCGGCGGCTGGGATCGAACTGGCGCTGCAGAGGCTGTGGGCAGCTTCGCAGCCCAGCTCTCAACCGCTGCGCCACCTGGGAGGTCCTGAATACTCATTTTAAAGATACATTGAAAATGTCAAGCCCTTAACTAAGTTAGAAAATTTCATTAATTGTTTCATATGTCTATAATTTGGAATTAAGTAGAAAAACTTAAGTTTTTGTTGATTGAAACACTTTTTTTGTATATCTTAAAATGTAAAGATTATGTAAACAGAATATAAAACTAGTATTTTTTTTAAAGATTTATTTATGTATTTATTTATTTATACAAGAACTGGGGTATCGACCAGATGCGCAGGAGGGTGAGAGGATTCACCAGAGACAGAGTGGGGAACAGAACAGGCAGACTGATGAAATACACTGCTGAGGGGAGCAGTGGGCGCGACAGGAGAGCTCTGCTGCTCCATGTGGGACCCTCGCCAGCCACCCGGGATCGAACCAGTGCTGCAGAGGCTGCAGACAGCTTCACAGTGTTGCGCTCAACCACCTGCACCACCAGGGGAGGCCCATAAAACTAGTATTTTTTTTTAAAGACCATACCTCATATAGGTCACATTGATTTAAATTTTAGTGTTACTTGCATCTTGAGCTAGTTAATTCCTTCTTTTTAACATCTATTTAATTTTTTAGTAGATTTTATTGAGTTTTTTTTTAATTACTTGCAATAGCTTAAACTTTTGTAAGAAATTGGAAAACTT